GTCGCTCGGGCAATACGACAAGGCTGAAGAGTATCTCCAAAAAGCCCTTGTCATCAGAACTGAGATTGGTGACAGAGAAGGAGAAGCATCATGTCATGAAAACCTAAGTACTGTGTTTAAGTCTTTAGGGCAGTACAAGAAGGCTAAAGAGCATCTCCAGAAAGCCCTTGTCATCAGAGCTGAGATTGGTGATAGAAAAGGAGAAGCATCATGTTATGGACACCTAATTACTGTGTTTGAGTCTTTAGGGCAATACGACAAGGCTGAAGAGTATCTCCAAAAAGCACTTGGTATCAGAACTGAGATTGGCGACAGAGAAGGAGAGGCTGCTGACTACGGAAACTTAAGTACTGAGTTTTGGTCGCTCGGACAATACGACAAGGCTATAGAGTATCTCCAAAAAGCACTTCTCATCACAACTGAAATTGGTGACGTAAAAGGAGAAGCATCATGTTATGGAAGGCTAGGTACTATGTTTGAGTCTCTAGGGCAGTACGACAAGGCTGAAGAGTATCTCCAAAAAGCGCTTATCATCAGAACTGACATTGGCGACAGAAATGGAGAAGCATCATGTTATGGAAACCTAGGTATGGTGTTTCAGTCGCTCGGGCAATGCGATAAGGCTAAAGATTATCTCCAAAAAGCGCTTGTCATCAGAACTGAGATTGGCGACAGAAAAGGAGAAGCATCATGTCATGGAAACCTAGGTACTGTGTTTAAGTCTTTAGGGCAGTACAACAAGGCTAAAGAGCATCTCCAGAAAGCGCTTGCCATCAGAACTGAGATTGGTGATAGAAAAGGAGAAGCAGCTGACTACGTAAAGCTAGGTGGTATGTTTGACTCACTCTGGCAATACGAAAAGGCCAAAGAATATTTCCAAAAGGCGCTTGTCATCATAACTGAAATTGGCGACAGAAAAGGAGAAGCAGCTATCTATGAAAAACTTAGTAATGTGTTTGGGTCTCTCGCACAATACGACAAGGCTAAAGAGTATCTCCAAAAAGCACTTGACATAAACACTGAAATTGGCGACAGAAAAGGAGAATCATCATGTTTTAGAAAACTGGGTACTGTTTTTGAGTTTTTCGGGAAATACAACAAGGCTAAAGAGTATGTCCAAAGGGCGCTTGTTATCAACACTGAAATTGGCGACAGAGGAGGAGAAGCATCATGTTATGGAAGCTTGGGTATTGTGTTTGCGTCGCTCGGGCAATACAACAAGGCTAAAGAGTATTTCCAAAAATCGCTTGTCATCAGAACTGACATTGGCGACAGAGAAGGAAAGGCTGCTGACTACGGAAACCTAGGAGCTGTGTTTGAGTCGCTCGGGCAATGCGACAAGGCTAAAGAGTATCTCCAAAAAGCACTTGACATCAAAATTGACATTGGCGACAGAAGAGGAGAAGCATCATGTTATGAAAACCTAGGTACTGTGTTTCATTCGCTCGGGCAGTACGACAAAGCGAAAGAGTATCTCCAAAAATCGCTTGACATTAGAACTGAGATTAGCGACAGAGAAGGAAAGGCTGCTGACTACGGAAACCTAGGAGTTGTGTTTGAGTCGCTCGGGCAATGCGACAAGGCTAAAGAGTATCTCCAAAAAGCACTTGACATCAGAATTGACATTGGCGACAGAAAAGGAGAAGCATTATGTTATGCAAACCTAGGTGCTGTGTTTGGGTCTCTTGGGAAGTACGAGAAGGCTAAAGAGTATCTTCAAAAAGCGCTTGGCATCATAACTGAAATTGGCTACAGAAAAGGAGAGGCAGATACCTACGCAAACCTAGGATCGGTGTTTAAGTCTCTGGGGCAGTACGAAAAGGCTAAAGAGTATCTCCAAAAAGCGCTTGACATAAAAACCGAAATTGGTGACAGAAAAGGAGAATCATCATGCTTTATATTACTGGGTGCTGTGTTTGAGTTTCTCGGGCAGTACGACGAGGCTAGAGAGTATGCACAAAAAGCGCTTCTCATCACAAATGAGATTGGCGACAGAAATGGAGAAGCATCATGTTATATAAACCTAGGGAATGTGTTGCGGTTGCTCGGACAGTACGACGAGGCTAAAGAGTATCTCCAAAAAGCGCTTCTCATAACAACTGAAATTGGCCACAGAAATGGAGAAGCATCATGTTATGGAAACCTAGGTACTGTGTTTGAGTTGCTCGGACAATACGATAAGGCTAACGAGTATCTTCAAAAATCTCTCGTTATGAGAACTGAAACTGGCCACAGAGCTGAAGAAGCATCATGTTATGGAAACATAAGTAATGTGTTTGCGGCTCTTGGGCAGTGCGACAAGGCCAAAGATTATCTACAAAAAGCACTAGCCATCAGAACCGAAATTGGTCATAAGCCAGGGGAAGCAGCAGTTCTTGCAAAATTTGGAAGTGTGTGTAGAACTGTTGGAGATTACGAGGCTTCGGAAGTATGCTTGGAGAAAGCTTTATTTATATCCAGAGATATTGGAGATAGAAGAAAAGAGTTCCAAATCCTTCTAGACTACGCCATTTTGTATTTATTACAAATTAAAATCAAAGACGCCCTGTCATGTCTTCATCTGTGCATTGAAAAGTATGAGGAGCTGAGACATTTCTTGGGCGCCAATGATCACTTTAAAACATCATTTCTGGAGCACTCAGGAATATTTCCCTACAAGCTGCTTTGTAGTTTGCTTTGTGTTACCGGACGTGCTCGTGATGCTCTTTATGTTGAGGAGTTGGGTCGAGCCAGAGGCCTATCTGACTTGATGGCAGAGAAGTACTCTGTTAAAACGCATATCTCTGCTAATCCGCAATCTTGGTTTGGCATTGAAAACATTTTTAGAAAGGAAATTAACTGTACTTGTCTGTACATTTCTTATTCTCAAAATCATCTGGATTTATGGATTTTGAAAACAAGTGGAGTCCTTCACTATAAAAGAATATCAGTAGAAGAGACTCTAGTTCAGGCTGGGTTGCCTAAAGATTTGCCTTTGAGTAAATATTTGACTAATAATTTCCGGAGTCTTGGTATTTTGCCCATTGAAGATTGCGAAGATCGGTCTTTAAATATGATTAAATTTCAACCTCTCTCCCCCGAACAAAAGAGCTCAGCAAGATTACGACTCGTGGTGGACGACGAGGAAGTCATTTCAAGTCTATCTTTGTGTTACACACTGTTTATTGCCCCCGTTTATGATTTGCTTGATGAGCCTGAAGTCATTATTGTTCCTGACAGCAGTTTGTACAAAGTTCCCTTTGCAGCCCTGAGTGAAAAGGAGGGAGTTGAATACCTGTCAGAGACTCATAAGATCCGTATCATTCCTTCTTTGACGACACTCAAGATCATTCAAGATAGTCCAGAGGACTATCACAGCAACACTGGTGCCTTGATAATAGGCAATCCCAGGGTTGATTGGCTGCCGCCATTGCCAGGTGCAAGAAAGGAAGCGGAGATGGTCGGAAGACTGGTGGGTGTTCCGCCCCTGGTAGAAGAGAGAGCAACGAAGCAGGCGGTACTAGAGCGGATAAGTTTAGTGAGCCTGATACATTTTGCTGCCCATGGTGACGCCGAAAGGGGAGAAATTGCCCTCTGCCCCAACATCCCTATTCCCAACAGTCAAAATGCTATCCCACCACAGGAAGCTTACATGTTGACGATGGCTGATGTCTCACGAGTGAAAGTCAGAGCTAAACTAGTGGTACTTAGCTGCTGTCACAGTGGAAGTGGAGAGGTAACAGCCGAGGGAGTTATAGGAATTGCCCGTGCTTTCTTAGGATCCGGTGCTCGCTCGGTGTTGGTTGCGCTGTGGACCATTCCGGACTTAGCAACAGAGCAGCTAATGAGTAGGTTTTACGAACATCTTGTTGAAGGAGAAAGTGCCAGTGAATCCCTTCATCGGGCCATGAGGTGGATGAGAAAAAACCGCTATACCAAAGTGTCTGATTGGGCTTCGTTTACGCTGATTGGAGATGATGTGAGGCTCGAGTTTGAAAAGCAAAGGTAAGACTCGGTAAGAATAGGTGTTTCATAAATTAAAGTTAAGTTAGATGTGAAGGTGCTATGACTTACTAGTCGCTGACTGTCAACGGGAATCCTTTATCACCTTGAATATCAAGGCTAGTTTTATACCTTTTTTTTGTTTTGTTTCTTTCAAAGAGCAACAATTTATTCTCCCAATTAGGTGTAAAATCTCGAAAGCGCCTCTCTGCCAATCAGATACAAGCATACATTTGCTGACGTATTGCGTCTCGTATAACTGTATTTGCTTTATTTAAGAAATTTTGATTAAGTTATTTACAATTGGTTTTTTTTACGTTTGTTACAGGAAAGAAGGCGAGAATATCTCGAAGGAAACAGACCTTAAAGACTTTTAGGTGGATGAAAAAATAGAATAAGTTGAGAAAATACTTTATCTGTTATTACATCGTGTAACTAAAGAAAGGGCAATTTTCAGTTAAGCGTATTATTTTAACTTTTTGCGTTCTCTTTTCGATCCTTTCAGAAGGAGGTATTAGTTATGTATTCGAGAATTTTTTTTGCACCAAAGTTATCCTATCCGGCCGATATAATAAGCACGAAAAATTATTGACTTAGGGCTCTTGAGTGAAGTGAAATCAGGAAAGTTGAAACAGTTGTTGAAGCATCGAAAACGAGCCATCTCAGTCTTACAGCGTTTTCTCACAAAGCCTTTAATTTGTTAGAGGTTTCGTTAACAGAATCTTAAATTGTTTATGTAGTATCCTTACGGAAAGCTTTTCTTTTGGTCAGTTTCAGTACTACTTCTGAGAGCTTAAAATACATGGATTGCTAAATAGAAACATGGATAAAGCTATCAAGGTCATGAACTTTATTAGTATCGAGTGGAAAAATGACGGCAGTAATATTTTGAAACTGGTTCAATAGGTTACTTACGCGTTGTAGTGTTTGAGATGATGTATGTTTGTTTAGTGTTTTAATCGTTTTCAAGTCAGGTTATTGTCAGAATGTTGTTTTGGGAATAAAAATATTCTAGTTTTTACCACACTTTTATACACTCCCCTAATTTGGGAAACTTTCTTTGGTTTTAGATTTTGTAGTAATTTCAAAGATGCTAAAATAAAAGGCAGCTGGAGAGAAATCTTAGAAAATATCGTGAACGTTTGTTTTAACCAAGTTACAGAGTAAAACGGATAGCACTGTTGTTCATTGTTAAGGCGGCATGAGTTATGAGCGGCATGCGAACTACTTAGGCTTTCTTGCGCAGAAAACATAATTAAACGCCATGATCGCAAGAAGGTTGTTTTGTTTCTCTATGCTTATCAGTGCATTTCTTTGATCGTCTTACTTCAACCCATGTTACTTGACATTTGTCTTATAATCAAACAAGTTCTGGTGATCAATATTCTAGCTTCAGATATCAATTCCAGTATCAAAATAGTAATCCTAGTATCAACAGTTATAGCGTCAAACGATCAACGCGTATTATGGGAACCGAACGAGCTTTTCATCCGTTCATCTGATGTAAATCACGTTAGTTTTGACATAAAAACTTGAGATATAAATAAGCGATTACATGCACCAAAAAAAGTTTTACCATGTCATGTTTTCTTGATAACGTGTCCTTCTTTTTTCCTCCTTTTACTATTTCTAAGGGCGTTTAACATCACGCTCATTACTCGGTAAGATAATACCTGAACTATGACTTTCAGTGTAGTGAGGAATTCTCATTCCTAACCCAACCCACACGTCCCAGCCCCCTCCCCCCTACTCCGCTATGTTTCATAGAGATGAAGTCTTGCTGCGTTTGTTTAGATACGTTTCTGTGAGATATTTTTCAAACAACTGACCCCCTTGTATCGTGTACAGTCAATACAGAAGACAGCTCTTCGAGTCTTGATAGAACTACCCCCTGATGTTATGAGTTATTTTGGTGCTATAGTGACTAATCTTTACATCGGAGTACAGCATAAAATAAGACCTGTTGGAAGTACGTCGGCCCTGAAGGAGAAAAGTAAGAGAATCCTTTGGTTTTAGGAGTCTGTACGCCACTCAGTCCTATTACCATCATGAATTGTACTCCACTGAGTCCTATTACTATTATCAATTGTACCCCACTCAGTCCTATAACTATTATCAATTGTACTCCACTGAGCTCTTTTGCTATTATCAATTGTACCCCACTCAGTCCTACTACCATGATTATGAATTGTATTCCACTCAGTCCTATTTCCACTATGAATTGTTCTCCACTTAGCCGCCCTATTACCATGATTATGAATTGTACTACACTCGGTCCTACTGCCATTGTTAATCGTGCTCCACTTAGTTCTATTACCATGATTATGAATCATACTCCACTGAGTACTATTACCATGATTATTAATTGTACTCCACTCGGTCCTATTACCATTATGAATTGTACTCCACTCGGTCCTATTACCATTATGAATTGTACTCCACTCGGTCCTATTACCATTATGAATTGTACTCCACTCGGTCCTATTACCATTATGAATTGTACTCCACTCGGTCCTATTACCATTATCAATTGTACTCCACTCGGTCCTATTACCATTATCAATTGTACTCCACTCGGTCCTATTACCATTATGAATTGTACTCCGCTTAGTCCTATTACCATTATGAATTGCACTCCACTCGGTCCCATTACCATGATTATGACTTGTACTCCACTCGGTCCTATTACCATTATCAATTGTACTCCACTCAGTTTTATTACCATTATGAACTGCACTCCATTTGATCCTATTACCATGATTATGAATTGTACTTCACTCAGTCTTATTACCATTGTGAATTTTACACCATTTAGTCCTATTACCATTACCTACTGGTCTTCACAGTTGATTACAGTATGCTCATTTTGTTTTCAGACTCCCTGTTCTTCCTCGCCATGTCAAAACGGTGGAACCTGCATCCCGAATTATAGATGCAATAGGAATAAAATTACCAACGGCGGAGTAAAATACCTCTTCTCGTAACGTATTAAATTGCATTTACATTTCAAACTCTTGCTTCAGACACGAGATGTAAAATCGGTCATAGATTGTAAAAGAGATTTGTGAGTAAAGAACTTTTTCTACTTGTCCTTTTTTATTTTCTCGCAGCCTTACACATGAGGTTCGCTGTGTTCGCAGTGGCGCGCCAGGAAACCCCTGCAGGAAAATGTTTTTTAAAGATTTTACTCCTTTAATGATCTAAAATAAATTACTTCCATAGCATTTAGCCAATTATATGGTGCCGGCGGAGGGTGCAAAAAAAATCCGTTATATATTTCTTTACAGGCCAATATTATCGGTAAAACCCACACAAACAAACAAAATTAGTTCTGTTGCGCTGTGTGATCCATGAGTGTTCTCATCGCGATTAGGGCTTGCTGTTGTTTGCGGTATTATTTTCCGGAGTGGACATACCATTACTACATTTTTGTTAGTGTTTAAAAATCGGAAATACATGGTTTTGGTAAAAAACTTCATCTTTTTCAACTCTTAACGACTGTCGAGTTGTGTGTATAAATAAAGTAGGTCAGCAAATTTTCATTCTATGTTGCGCAAGGGGCAAGAGAAAATGGTTGACTCCCCGCGAGTGAAGCTGACACTCTAGGTCGATGTCGATCCATTATTATCCTTTGTAAACAAAATTTCGATCATGGAGTTAAATTATAAAATTTCTTTGGCTTACATTGTGCGTTTTAAAGTAGACTTGAGTTGTTAGTTCCACGCGTGGGTTTAACCTTTAAAAATGCAATCACGCGAGTAAAGCTGACATTAATTGAGCTGAATTGAGCTGTTTTTAACTTTATCTCATCGGGAAAAGTTTTCTGCCTGTTTGCAGCTAGTCACGCTGGTTGTCGCTATATCTCAGTCAAAACAACAGTTTTCCTCTTTTCTTGCTAAATTACGCTTTCGTCAGCGTTATCGCACCGAAAAGGTTTTTTTCCCTGGTTTGCTCTGAATCAAGCAGTTTTCAGCTTTATCTCAACAAGAGCTTGGAGCCTCATCTCATGGGACACAGCGTCTTTGCCTTTTTGTAGCCAAAGTTTCGTGATTCTAGCTATATCTATCTCACTCACTTTATCTCACTCGCGTTTTGAGTGAGATAAAGTTGAAGTTAGCATGATTAGCTGCAAACGGGCAGATAAGCTTTTCCCAGATTAAAAAAGCTCAAAACAGCGCAGTTTAGCCACAAAAAAGCAAAACCGCTGTTAACATTGCGATAAATGTAAAAACAGCGTGATTGGCTAGCAAGATACCACA